ATATATATATATATATATATATGTATATATATTTGCTGTTTATATATATATAATTATATATATATATATATATATATATATATATGTTATATATATATATATGATGTCAATGACCGATATCGCGGGTCAAAGGTCTGAGCGAAGGGAAGGAGTTGAGATTCGACTTACCGGCGTTTGTGTTGTGATTTCTGGTCCAGAACCACCAGGGCGGTCGGTAACCTGTGGCCAGCACAAGAATCGCGAGAAGCGCCGCCGCGATCGTCTCGAACCACGCTCCGGACAGCAACATCCTCCAGTCAAATCCCTGTGCACATTCGTGTGAAAAAAAAAAAGATCAGAGAAAAATTCCCGCGATATGAAAAAAAAAAAAACAAAAAAACGAAACGCTCGTCGCTTTTACGTCGGGACAATTTCGTGCGCGCGCGCGCGCACGGTCAAATCGAGAGCGCAAAGAGAGAGAATAATTTCACTGCGTTATCGTAATCGCGCGCGCGCGCGCGCGCGAGTGGCGTGCCGCGATTATCTCGTTACACACCGCGCGCGCGAAACACTTGTTGTCTCTTCTTGTCGGCGTAGATAGTACAACATACTACACGCCGAGTAACGCCGTATCTTTCGCGGGAGTGTGTGAATTCGTCTTTTTCAGTCATTGTTATAAGGACGGCGAAACGTTGACGCGCCGTCGTTGTGAAAATATTTTTGCGCAATCTCTTCGCGAGCGCGCGCGCGCCGCGCTCACGTTATTGTTGTTGGGGCGCGCGTTTGATTCTTATCTCAGCTGAATTTCACAGCTGAATATATTTTGCATTAATTTTAAAACTAATGCGCGAACACACACAAGCGAGAAATACACATCAAATACTTACTCCGCAAGTAAGAAACAAGAGTTTCTAGAATAAATAAATCTTTTTTTTATAAACAATCGTAAGACGCGATATGACGCAGAAAAATGTTTCTATATATAAAACGTAGAATTTAATCATTTTTTTTTGTTATCAAAACAATTCACAATCTTTCGCGATATTATTTTGTTGGTTTTTTTTTCTTAATTAAAGCGAGGACTCGGTTTGCGGGGCGACTTTCGGGTTTGGTTTTCTCACACGGAGTTGCTTGTACACGCGATAGAAAAAAGAAAAAAAAAAGACACGGTACTCACGGCGATGGAAATGCGACGGATATATATAATATATGTAAATATATAAGAGACGGTTTCTCGCGTTACAATCGCGTATATACATTACGTAGGCGAATGTATCAGACCTCGCGTATCAGACGACGCTTTAACTCAGTTGTAATTGGCGACACGCGTCTTTTGCGCGATCGGTTTTCACGCACGACTCCGATAACGCGCTACCCGCGCTACTCTCTCTGATTTAGCACTAAAACGCGCGCGACGCCGCCACGAGAGGGAACAATAAAGGTGCGAGCACATTTTTCTTCGACCGATTCTCTCACCGAGGAATAAAGGAGTTAGGAGCGAGAGAAAAGGAAAGGGGGCAGAAAAAGGAGAAAAAAAAAAAAAAAAAAGAAGAAGGGAACACGACGTGTCTCGAAGAGGGAGAGTAAAAGAAAGAGAGAGAGAGAGAGACGGGGGAGCGAAAAATCGCGCGAGCGCGCGCGGATAGCAGCGGCTTGTTTTATGGATCTCTCTTTGCGATTGACTGAGTGCCCCAGTGTTATTCGCGGAGCTCCGCCGCGATTTCTCTATTTGCAATTCGCCGCGATAACGCTCCCGGTGTTGCCCCGATGATCCCGACTCCCCGTAACCACGGATCTTTCTCTCTGACTCACTAACGTGTGTACGCACACACACACGTATATATATATATATATTGGATATATATATTGAGATATATATATATCTCCGTGTAACAGCTCTCCAATATATATATATATATATATATTGAGAGATATATATATATTAGAAATATATATATATATATTGGATATATATATATATTGGAGAGCTGTTACACGGATCGGGAAGAAAATGGTTTATAAACGATATGTACCGGCGTGATAACCGTGTAATTGCGGGTATTTCAGTGCCGCGGTCTTCGAACAGAGAGACGAGAAATCTCGACGGTACATTATATCCATAGGTACATACATATATATATATATATATCTTTACTCAAAATGATTCAGCACGTTTAATAAACGTTATAGAGCAATGTCGGTGATGTAGTTCTTCGCAAAAGAAACGGCAGAAAAATCAGTTTTCGCTCATTCTTCACACGCGCCTTTAATAAGAATCTCGTCTTAGCTGAGACTGAACTTTCTTGAACGCAGATTTTTTTTTGAGAAAGATCCTTTTTTTTTTTTGTATTTTTCTTACATTAAATACGCGCGCGTACTCTGATTGAGACAACTTAAATTTCGAGCGTATTTTTATCTCTTATCTCTTTTTTTAATCTTTTACGAACAAATGGGATGTACGAAGAAACCGCGACGGACCATCGTATCAAAATATCTCTCTTGTTGAAAAATCTGAGAAATAAGTGTAAAAATAAATTACACTTATAAAGCGCACGTTGCGGTTGTGAGCGAGGAGATAAATTTAATAAAAAAAACGGAAATTGCGGGTAATTGAATTATTTAAGCTTGCAAAATTTTTTGTTTGTATTTTGTTCTTTTGTTTTGTTTTTTTTTTTTTTTTGTTTCACTGATTATGATTGATTTACGATTTTCGCCGAAAGAGAAGAATGCGAGGAGAAACAAGAAGAGAAGGAAGAGCGAACGAACGGGCGTCGCATTCCACGCCTGGGTTCTTTGTAGCGGTTTCCGTGTACACGGGATGCATTTTCTGACCGGTTATATTGTTCGTTCTCATTAATGACTTTAATTAAGCACACCGCTACGGTAAGTGCCGTCCCTATCATCAGCGCACGGTAATCCCGCGCGCTGTACCCAACCTGTTGCACACACGATGAGAGAATCTCTCTCTCTCTACCTAGGGATGGTATATCTCTCCGCGAGGAACGTGATGCACGCGAACATCAGAAGTTGCGGCGAAGCCGCATTCTTCTCTAATAACGTAACTACGTTTCTATTTGTTTTTCTATTTTATTTTAACTTACACATTCACCTATTTTACTTTGTAACAAGCGCGAACATATAAACATATCGTTGAAACCGGGGTCGCGACGAGAGACTGGCATATTATCGAATTAACCGCCTTTAAGATACCAGAAAATTATATTTTTAAGCGTTAATATCACACCGATATATTGTCGAAAGAGTTTAAAGTCTCATATAAAAATAAATGTTTCTTAATATGTAATTCTTGCTCTTATTCAACAAGATATATATACTTTGTGTATATAGATATACTTTATATAAATATAAATATATATATAATATCAACTATATATATATATATAATATATATAATATATATATATATATATAGAGAGAGAGAGAGAGAGAGAGAGAGAAAGCAGATTTTTAAATACTGTATTAAATATTAGAAAAGAATTCAAACATTATTTATATTTTTTTGCAAGGAAAAAATAAAAAAAAGGATGCAAAATGTCGCATTTTTCTTTCGTAATTAATTATGAACGAAATATATAAATTGTTTACAAATTTTATACGCGCGCGCGAGCGCGAAGACTGGATTTCCGTTGCTTTCTTCTTTTAAATCGCCTATTTTTTGCGCACTTAAACGTTTATGATGTTCGAACCTGTTTTACTTTTTACGAAACGGACACTATTCTTAGCTCGCGCGACTTTACGCTAATGATTTTCCGATCAGAATCAAGCCTCTGGATCTAATCTCTAATAAAGAGGTCTAATAAAGAGCGTGAAAAAATGTATCGCGCTTCACACATCTCACCGAACCAGTCCCACGCTAAAAGAAAGACGACAAGGTCCGGCGCTTGACGCGCGGCCGTCGAAAGATAGCTCCTTTCTCTCTCTTTTCCTTTCTATATTTCTCTCGTTGCGATCTATTTTTTGTTCGTGTTTCGAAAAAGAAATCAAAAACAAAAAAAAAGCACAGGTTTAAATTAAAACTCAAATTTGCACGCAAAGAGCAATAATAAGTAACAACTTCTGACAAAGAATCATTAATAATATTACATGTAAAATATTCAGATTGTGTTTTTTGTTTTTTTTTTTTTTAAGATTGATTTAAAACTATCTCTTTAACTTCGTGCAAATTTAATGACAAATTAATAACGGCAATAAACGTCCCGAGAGCTGTTAAAAAGCCGTGTATACGAGACTGTGTATGTGAAGCATATTTTTGTGCTCGGTTAAATCGGCAAATTGCACGCACACAGGCGCGCGGACACGCGCTGTGCGTCGTAGACGTCGTGATGATAACAAACGCGACTTAATTTCTGAACGAAGACTTTGGAATAACAGAGTAGTGTGTATGTTGCCAACCAGCAAAATAAAGATTATTGTTTCAACAAAATGTTTTTTTTTTTTAACTTTTTCAAAAAAAAAAAGAAGACGAAAAAAAACTAATCTGTCCTGTACCTTATCTTTGCTATTGCTGCAATTGTCTTTTTTGTCTCTTACAAACGTGTGCGAATGAAGAAATATAATTTATAAATTATAAAAAAATAGAATTTATAAATTATAAAAAATATACATATGTAATTTTTACGAATAAAACAAAACCTATTCGAGGCGATGTTGCAAACTCTCTACGTTGCAACAGAAGTTGTAACAATCGCATCACAAGATCGCGTGTGTGTGTGTGTGTGTGTGTAAAATGATAACTTTCGAATTGGAATAATCGAGAATCATACGCGCGTGTATGTGTTTGAACGCGAAAAATCTATTAATTGGTTTTTCAAGAATTACAAATCGAAGACATACCAGACAAGACGATCTCATTACGCTATCCAGTTATCGCTTATCATAGGGTTATTGTTTAGTTTCTGTTCTAACACGATTTCTGTGTTCTAATCGCCTGTCAATTATAACGACGGGAGATGAATAATCATCGTACGCGCGCGCCTTTATTAATAGTACAGTTATGGTAATTTATCTATTCTCAACGCCGCCGCCGCCGCCGCCGCGTTCAATCTTAAATCTCTTGTATTAACGTTGCTCGGGTACTACTTTTTCCGCGCTCGCGTACAGAACGCGAAAATTATTTCTTGCGCAGAGCAAATTGCTCGTTATCAAGCGAATTAATTAATAATTTTTTTTCCTATATGGAGGAAAAAAATTATTTCGAAATATATATGTGCACTGAAAAAACAGTTTTGTTGAGATTACCAAACTTTGGTAATCTCAACCAAAATTTAGTTTCCAGAACACTTTATTTGGTTTAATTTACCAAAT